TGGGAACAGGAAAAATTAGTACAAATCCAAATTCTAAAACTTTCCAGACAATTAAAATTTCATCAGCCTTATTTTAGTTATTAAATAAACTTCTAACCGCGTTGTGTATTTCTCAACAATTATCTTTGATTGGATTTCAATAAACCTAGGGCTATAAAACATTCGCTGCTTTATTGCTTAATAAATAGCTATCCTAAAATCTACCCTTAAATGACTTAAAACTGTTTTTATTTGTTATCGTGGGCTACATGTGATGTGTATGTTAGATCTATTTAACATATCATATACACGTAAAAAAATACGCATTTTGTTGGGGCGAAAGCATCCATTCAAAACGGTATACACTCCAAATTTTATTAGTTGCGCAAAAGCCTCCTATATGCTTCGACCCTCCGTGAATCCTAATGTGAAGAAAGCAGTTAAATATACGGGTGAACATATCAGCTGGTCAAGCATAATTTTTAGCATTGTTGTCTTCACATTCACTGCTGGCATACGTTTGAAAAGACATAATAAACGGATTCAAATTATTAAAGATCTGAAATCTTCGACTGAAATTGAAAGAAAATAAAATGTTACGACTTGGAGTCGGACGTCATCTGAAGGATTTTATTTGCGTGAAAAAGGACGGATGGCTGGGATATGTTATTTTGTTGATGCAGATTTTTGGTACTGGATTTGCGAGCAATTTCATTATCTTTTATTGGATAATCATACTTATGTACGTACTATACAAAAGAACTATATATATTCACTGAGAATTTTTACAGCACACGGTAAAAGTATACCTATCCCTCATTAGCTTTTATAGTTAAAGTTTATACAATACATTTGTGGAAATGTGCGCAATTACTCCAAAATTCATATAGCACCCCAAAAATGTTCACTTGTGCGCGCAGGGTGGTGAAGTGTAGCTTAGTCGTTATGTTTTACCTGTGATGTATACACGTCATAGCCCAGGCTAATAACGTTGTCATATACCACCCGGTATCGTGTTGGTAGGCAATAGAAGTTAATGAATTGTGCGGGTGGCCATACCATCCATTCAGCAGCATATAATTTCCATGCTTTATCCTTCATTTCCTGCCACGTCTCCTTCAACGATTTGTCTTCCAATGCGCCCATTGTCAGAAAGAATGCCGAAATGTAGAGAGGAGAACAAATGAATTGATCTAACACAATTTTCTTCATTACAATTCCAATTGTACGTCCTGGCATTCGACTATCGAGAAACTTGTACCAATAATGACAAATGGCGCCAACGCCCATCCCGGAAATGCCCATGTTGGCTGTGCGCCTCTGGTCCCATTCTTTTATATCGCCGCGATAAATTTCGTAATGTTGTTCCAATAGATCACCGGCTGTACTCAGGCCTAGTGAAATGCTCACATTGGTTATAAGAAGAAATTTATTACTGAAAGCCCGTTTGTGGATTTCGCGAACGAAATCGAATGACTTCAGTGCAGCACTGCGTAAAGCCAGGATTGAAGCTGGTGCCATTAAAAGCGAAAGACACTTATGTACATATGTATGTAGGATAGATGCCGTTTAACTTAATTTTAAGTTCTGTAATTAAAAAATAGATGTAATTTGTAGTATTTTTCTAGGGTTGTGTAACGGCTTTGTTTATTAGTTTTGTGTTTTGATTTTAATCAATTTAATTACCCTGGTTTACAAAAACCGCTAACCACAACGTACAGGGCGCTGCGCACTTGCGCCCTAAACTCAGAAACAAGACGCCTAATAACTCCAAAAAAATTAAATAACACGGCCGCTGGCGATTAAAATCAAGAAAAAAAAACATGAATGCTGCACGTGCCAGCTGTGCCTAGGGATGCAAACGATACATCGTTGTTTTTGAAACATCGATAATATGAGTTCAATTTT